TAAAGAATTAGGATTTTAATTTTAAAGTATTGTAAAGCGCCATGGACAATTAGTGGAAAATGGCGCTATATAAATGTATATTTATTTATTTATTTATATCCAAACACCGTCACGGTCATGATTTCCTTTGTTTAAACTTGATGAATTATTAATGCATTTGAGAAGGAATATTCAAGCATCATATCATATTTATAAGGGAAACATTTTTGAAATTACAAACTAGTTACAAAATACAGAGCTTTGAGCCACCTGCATTGCAATTATAGTACTAACACTAGTATATGAATATGCTACGAGACTTGATTCCAGTCTATCACCTTAAGTGTAAATCCGTTTTTCAGAATGAAAAAATAACGCTATATAATTATTTAATTGAGGCATTAAGATTAAGCTACCATTAACATCCAAATTTCAAGCCCGGAGGCGGTCTAACCACTCGGTACGGTGCCTCCATTGCAAATGAAATGGCTTATATACTGTAATAGTTTCCTGCTAGCAAAATCTAACTGCGTTGTACCCTGTGCGTACAAATAACCAGAGTCACGCAACACCAACACCTTGTTCATTTTTAACCTCGTTCCAGGGAAAATCCCTGGAAACGAGGTTGGTCCTTTCCCGGTCCTTTATAGAGAAACCATTTACTTGGTTCTTCCGGCAGCACCAAACATTAATATTACCGCTGAAGTGTTAATTAGTTTTCTCTCTTGGTGTCCCTAAGACAAAAACTGACAAAAAAAATTCCGCCTTGGAGACTTGGAGTCTGATTTTCTAGAAAATTGTGGACTGGTTGTTCCGAATTTCCTGTGGGTATTCACCCAGTTTGCATAATCTCCAGAGAGAAAGGTTCTCTCATCAGATGATAAACGAAAATGATGTTTGACTCGGTCAGGTAAACATCAAGAAAGGGTTTGCTTAAAATAATTTTGAATTGCGAATAAATAAATTTCTTTACATGAAGCAGCTTACGGAGTCACTTCACTGTGATCCTTCAGCATTTTGTCGAGCTTTGCTCTTTGAAGTTTTCTTGTACCAGATCGGCAGATCTATGACAGATTTCAGAAAGGCAGGTTTTGATTTCTTTCTGTCGTTTGTCAACTTCTTTACTTCATAAAAGCATTCTTTCAGTGTTTTGCATTTAGTGCCGTTACAGTTTCGCACACTTCCCTTAGTTCTTCAATAAATTAATCGTCAACTTTCTCGAAAAGAAAAAAGAGTGGGAAGCGCGGTGGCCTCATGGTTAGTGCGCCCTACTCCGGAGCGAGCGGTCTGGGTTCCAGCCCTGGCCAGGGACATTGTGTTGTGACACTTCATTTACACTCACGGTGCCTCTCTCCACCCAGGTGTATATATGGGTATTGGCGAACTTAATGCTGGGGGGTAACCCTGCGATGGACTAGCATCCCATCCAGGTGGGAGTAGAAATACTCATAGCCGCTTCATGCTACTGAAATCGGGATAAGCTCCGGCCTGATGAGCCACTTGGCTTGTATGCTGACTTTACCTTACCTTTTCTCGAAAAGAGACGCTATTGTTGCAAGGCTCACACTTCTCATCACGTCGCGTGATAAAAATCTCCGAGATATTTGGAGATTTTATACCACGTGGTCCAGCCTTAGCCATGGGGGGTCTTCTCGCAACGAGCCGTCATTTTGAAAATCGCGAACCTATGAAAGATCGAAAGACTGGGCTCTAGTGTGTTCATTGTAATGGCGTCCTTCATGTGGTTTGTGGTCGAAGTCGATTTCGCTGGTTTATAAAGGTACGAAATTCTATAAGTATGCCTTTTTATGTCTAGGTAAGCTAAAGAATACAGCTTCACTTCTTTTCTTCTTACTGAATAAGGAAAACAATAGTGTGTGGCTGATACTTGATGTTCGTGCTGTGCAAGGAAGACCGAGGTTCCCTCTATTTTCTTGATTCAGCGGCCTAAACCAAGGAGTTCTATTCCCGTACACTTCACTCAACCAAATAGAAAACATTTAGGCTTATATTATAAGTGGAGGCTACTAATATTATAACAAGTAGTGGAGAGAGCAATGGAATGTATTTAGAAGAAATTAAGACACGCTGAATACGGGTTACTAGCCAGAGAATATAATTCACGTAAAAATGTTTGACGCTATTTTTCAAAACGATAATAATAAGGAAAGAATAACCTCGAGCATACTGGTCGATGTGAAGTGGTGTGATATTCACAAGGATTAGTTTATAGAGGCATGATTTTACCAATGGAAAATAATACAGTACAGCTTAATTTAACATATACACCCAAAAGAAATCAGAAGAAATACATTTATGCTTGCCTTAAACAAGGATTATTCAACATGTGTATGTGGCTAAATGGTTTTAGCCACTTTTATCTTTCCATTGGTACATTTAACTTAACAAGTACCACTACACAGAGGTTTACATTTGGAGGACTTGAATTGTCTTGTAAACAACTTAAATTTTGAATTTGGTCAAGTTGTAGGACAAAACATTGTGAAGTGGAAATTAATTTTGCAGTTGTTGAACATTCATTTAAGTGACTTTGTAGTGAGTTAGTTATGATTATCTTACTTCGCCCATGTTTACAATAATAACATACATGTAATATTATTATAACATAATATCAATATCACCAAAACCTTATCAGTCCTACATGTATATTTTTAGGACAGAATGGGCTAAGTTATTACTCATTCCCAGTTTATGGCCATGTGATCCACTATCAAAAAACTCTTAAAAGCCATAACAGACCCTCTAAAGGCTGCAATTTCTGTCCACATCTATCTGATACAACAAACACAAGCTATTTTAATTTAGGCACAAGTACTAATTAAGTAAACAGGGTTGGGGCATACTCAAATATTTACCTTTGAAAAGAAAGAGTAGCTGCATTTACACCACCAAGGAGGAGGAGGAGGAGGTGTATAAAAGGAAATCGATAAACAGCAATTCTAATTCTTAGTGGAATTTATAATTTTTGGGGGGGGCATGGGCGTATTTACCCCACTGCCCTGTCTAGGCTCACTCCTTTGGTACTTGCAATACCTTCCGTTTCTGTGTTGAAAATCTGCCTACAGTTCTGAGAGACTTTGGTCTTTCTCCACCCAGGTGTAAAAATTGCTACTGGTGAATGTACTTACTGCCTGGGGGGTAAACCTGCATTGCACAAGCATCCCATTCAGCAGGTAGTAGATATAATTTTTGTCTTTTCCTGTGGTGGAAACTAGGATAAGCTCCAGTGGAATGGACCACTTAGACTGTCGCAAACTTCACCCTTGCCAATTTGTCAGTTAAGTGGGATGACAATGACTTGCAGAGCAGCTTATGAATTAAACGTAAACTTGAATTTGCCATAAATGTGATGAGGTGATATAGTTTTACTCCCGTGAGGGAAGTAATGGAGACTAGATTCTTGTGGTTAAAATCAGTGAACATGCAGGGTTGCAAACGTTAGAAAATAGTATACACAACTGATAATGTGTTCAAATAATGAAGACCCTGAATGACTTGCCCGTTCAACTTCATGACTAATAAAGAAACAAAAGTCTCCACATATTATATTTCATATACAATTTCCACATGTTACATGCATCTTTAACATAATATGTGGAGACAAATTTGAGGCAAGGATAGCCTTAAATAATATTATTTGTAATTAACCACAAGGTGCTGTACTTGTGGCCAGTTGGCAGAAAGCTTAACTTGCAAGTTTGATCGCAATGTCCTCAGCCAGGGCTCGAGCCCTGACTGCTCAATCCGGAGATGAGCGCGCTAACCATGAGGCCACCACGCATCCCAAATTTATTTTAATAAAGAAATCAGTGTTGGTAGACACTGGATTACAAAAAGCACTTTCTCTCTGGTTGTAGCGCTATTAAGCTCAGATTGAACATTGGTCCACATTGTTCTCAAATAGATATGTAGTCATAATATCTACAACGGGTGATCAGGTGTTCAGAGCAAGTGATAAATAAGCTTCATAGGTGTCAGGGTCAGTTTAGATGGAGTTTAATTAAACTTTCGTGATAGTAAACCTACATTAAACATGAAGGAATGTAGGCGTGATGTGCAATAGATTACACAACTTCATCATAAATCAGAACTGACCTATTACATTGGCACACTACTGTATGTCAAAAATAATTATTGCAAATTTATAACTCACAAATGCCACATTATGTGGTTCCAGAAAATCTCCATACCCACCCCACAGAGGGTGATTGCATATTCTGAGGGGGAGGGGTGTCTCAAGGGCCAAAATTGTTTGAGAAAATTATGAATAAAACTGAAATTCCAGAGGGATTAGTGGGGAAAAAACTCGCCATGGGAGGGGGTATTGATGGTTTTTGGAACAACACAGTTAGATGTGTGACAAGTGTGGCTATTAGTTAAAAGCCGTGTAATGCTGCACTAATTTTGCTGGTTGATTGTTCTTAAGTCAGTGTAGGTAAATGTTAATTAAGTCTGTGTATGAACCAAGTGGTCTATCAGGCCAGACCTTATCTTGGTCGGGTTTCGGTAGCATTAAGTGACTAGGAGTATTTCTGCTCCCCCCTGGATGGGATGCTAGTCCATCGCAGGGTTACCCCCAGCGTTAAGCTCGCCGGTATCCATTTATACACCTGGGTGGTGAGAGGCACTGTGAGAGTAAAGTGTCTTGTCCGAGAACATAGCACACGGTGTCCCCTGCTAGGGCTCGAACCCACACCAATCGTTCCAGAGACGAGTGCACTAACAATTAGGCCACCATGCCACCCATTTGAGTCAGTGTAATTCACTAAATATATCATGCTGACAAGGACTAACTTTACCTCTGGACATTAAGATTTATTATCTCCAGAGTCAAATGGATATACTGCACCTTACTCAAACTCCTCCTACGATAATGAGTTGTGATCAGGTTCCCATCAGTCTGCCCGATAAGTAGCAAGCCTAATATGATATTTTCTTTGTCATTTTGTTAGGAATACAGCAAAAACGTCTATCTTGACAGCATATTTGACAAGACTCATTAAAATGGAATCAAGTTTGACATCCGGTTTTCAACGAAACGCGGCATAAATTTTTAAGCCAATCATAACCTGCTTCGGATATGGCAACCAAGATACCAACGGAGGTACACGAATGCAAGCACTGTGGCCAGGTTTTTAACCAGTTGTCAGCTTGCAATCAACATGAACGAACTCACACAGGAGAGCAACCCTATACATGCAAACATTGTGGAAAGAGTTTTAGCCGATTGGCAAATTACCAGAGACACGAACGAACTCACACAGGAGAGAAGCCCTACACATGCAAACATTGCAGAAAATGCTTTGGACAGTTAGCAAACTGCCAGAAACATGAACGAATTCACACGAGGGAGAAGCCTTATTCATGCAATCATTGTAACGAACGCTTCAGCTCCTCGTCACATTGCAAGCGACATGAACGAATTCACACTGGAGTGAGACCACATACATGCAAGCATTGCAGAAAAACCTTTCGCCATTTAGCAAATTGCAAGGAACACGAGCGAATTCATACAGAAGAGAAGCCGTATACGTGCAAGCATTGTCAAAAGTGCTTTAGCGACCATACATCTTGTAAGCAACATGAACGAACTCACACTGGAGAGAGGCCATACGAATGCAGGCATTGTCAAAAGAGCTTTAGTCGCTCATCAAATTGCAGAAGACATGAGCAAACTCACACAGGAGTGAAGCCGTTTACGTGCATACATTGTGATAAGGGCTTTAGCCGCTTATCTGATTGCAAGCGACATGAACGAACTCACACAGGAGAGAAGCCGTATGCATGCAAACATTGTAACAAGTGCTTTAGCCAGTTAGGAAGTTGCAAGGAACATGAACGAACTCACACAGGAGAGAAGCCGTATACATGCAAACATTGTAACAAGAGCTTTAGCTACTCATCACATTGTAAGGAACACGAACGAACTCACACAGGAGAGAAGCCGTATACATGCAAGCATTGTGACAAATGCTTTGGTCGGTCATCAAGCTGGAAGAAACATGAAGAAAGGCACGCAAGAGACGGTTTTTTAAAACGCAAGCAGCATGATCAGCACTTTCAACAAAAAACAGAGGTTCTGGAGCCAGTTACAACTCATGGTGGCATAGAGTCTGACATTTTGTTGTCTGTAAGTGAAAAATGTTTCAGCGAAGTTGAAACCCTGGCCTGCTGGATTTATCAGGAGGAATTTAGTAATGAGGCGTGTAGTGTCCAACATTACGAGGAAACAAACTCGACACAATAATCTTTGATGTAACGTTAGTTGTTTTGTCATTAAGCATTTGCCTATAGGAAAGACTTGCCGAATGCAACCAGTAGCTATTGACAAGTCATTTCACATTGTGTTCACGTTGAATTATTGCAGTTTTTACGGGCCAGAAGGTCCGACGAAAACTTCGTGACCAATGTTGTGTTAAAGTTTAGTTTGTGCTTAGCACGCATGGTGACTTGAAGTGTTTTGTTGTTGTTGTTGTTTATTCATGTTAATGATGGCTTCGTTTATTCTTGCTACAACTA